GACTGGTAGCATGTGAAGAGCCGAGCCAGTGTATTGATGAGTACTGACGGCAGGTTCTTCAGGTGTTCAGGTCTGACCTTGTCTGGGCTGGGTGCTGTTCATTTCTTTACTGATGAAATGGCTTGTCGAATTTCGGAAGGAAGAACATTGGGAACGACATATCCATCCTGTGGAATTTGGTATGTCGGCAGGTGGACATGGCTATCGAAGAGATTTGAGTAGAAGTCATGGATAATCTTCTCCATTGCCCTTCTGGAAGATGTGATAGATCCATCAGGACTTCGGAGGGCTGTCATCTTGGTCTTGTAGTTGGCAAAGGACAGACGGGCGTTACGAATACTTTTCCCGGCTTTTGCCCCATCTACCAGCACTTCTGCTCTTCTCTCTTTGAGGTCTTCCTTGATCGCATCTCTGCACTGCTTTGCGAGCTTGGACGTTCGCTTGTGGTTGCCTGAGGCATGTGCCAAACCACGTTGGCAAATAAGCTCAAGAGTTTTCGAAGACAGACTTTTTTTGTGGCTATCTCTCTCTTGGCGTTCCTCGCACAATCATGGAGGTGCTGAACCAGTTGATCGTATCTCTCATCAATGTTGTCAATAATGTCATCTTCCCATGTTGCCGCAATAGTGCCAAAGAGCTTCCAGTTGGTGGTTGTTCTGGGAGTTCTCTTTTTAAACTTTGCAGCTCTTTCTCCCCGCTCTGTGAAGTAGAATTTTGCACAAAGGAGATGGTGGTCCGATCCCGTTTGGAATTTTGGTCAGGCAAAACCTTCGATTGAATATGATGTGGTCTATTTCGTTGTGGAATTGTCCACCAGGAGATTCCCATGTCCAACGTTTAGATTCGGCCTTCTGGAACTGTGAGTTACTGTGGATGGTCTTGGTCGACATGATGAACTCAGACAGTCTCTCACCCTGTTTGTTCCATTCTAGGCCATGGGTCCCGATGTGAAGTTCTTCAGCTGATCTTCTTGGTCCTATCTTGGCATTAAAATCACCCACAATGATCTTGTAGAAGGAGTGGTCTTCTTTATAGAACTTCTCCAGCTCCATGTAGAACTTCTCAATTTCTCCTTCATCATAATTGGATGTTGGTGCGTAGACAACGAAGATGGAAACTGCCGGCAGTGAGCCACATCTATTCAAATGTGAACGTCCGATTCGGGTTGTTAGGCATTCGAATGAATCCATGCTCTTGGCCAAGTGTGTAAACTCACACAAGTGGGGGCACAGCACCCACAGCGGCGGTGGCTCTATCTCTCCAGCCACCCGCGTTCGGTAGTCTCACCCTTCTCCCACCCCGGAGAGGTCGATGGCGATGGTCAGGCGGAGGAAGGAACGAGGGCCAGGCTGGTAGGTATTAGTCGTAGTTTATTCTGATTCTCTCCTCATCTGTCTCTGCTCCTGTCTCTCTCTGTCTCTCCTCGTCTCTCCTTCTGTCTCTGCTCCCATGCTACTTCATTCTTCTTCTCCATCCCCCTTCATCCTCCTCTTCCTTCTGATCCTCTCTGAACTCTCTTCTTCCTTCTGCCCCCAGCCCACTCCTACAGTACAGTTAAATCCTCTCTCCATGAGGAATTGGGGGAACAATTACATAGGTGCGGTCACAATCAATAGGGGTAGAGATCAATAGGGGTAGAAATCTTAGCCTCAGGGAAGACCACTCCTAGGACAGATCCTTCCTCAGCCGGAGGACCCACCCTAGAGCATAATCCCATGGGCGTGCCTCTCCTCTCCTTGTCCGACAAGCATACAAGAATAATATAAATCATTTTGTATGGATACAGTAAGAAATATCTTAAACTTGTAGAATTGCTCTCCTAGGGCCATCTCGATCTCAGACTACGGTGCTCAGGCCAGATAGTCTTTCCCACCCCTACAAGGATTCTAGTCTTGTCGTTACCTTTGGATCATGACAGCATTTGTCCATGATCAAACTCTTAACTTATAGTTAAGAATCGTGGCACTTTGGCCTGGCCCATTTCACTGCCAGGGTAGCTCGCCGCTTGCCCTGGGTCCATTCAGTCCCTCGTCGGGACCCTGCTTTTGGGGTGTTAGGAACTAAGGGCAACTGAGGCTTAAGTCGAGAAAGCAGATGCCCGGGAGTGAATAATATTCAAGGCCAATCAAATCCTAAGTTACAAAGCATAATGTTAACGGTCGTCCTGTATCTATACAAAAAGGATATTACTCTAAGGTAAACTGTTCATAAGGCATAGGGAGAGGAGAAAGGCAATATTTCACTCATACATATGAAATCATAGATTTCTGGGAAACTGATATTACAAATTAACAAAGTCTGATTAAGGGGAAAGCTGATTAACTGGGTGGGAAGGAGAGCATAGGGAAGACTGCTTACATGTTTACATGTAAACACAATGGAAGTGGAAGTGCCTCTGGAGCACTGTGGTGGGTGTAACCAGATTGATGGGTGTAACCAGATTAATGGGTGTAACCAGATAAACCTAAGCTTCTTGAAGGACAAAGCAATGTTACCCAACAGCCAAGTTTGTGTTGACAAGGACACCAACGCCTCCAACACTTCTTTTATCACATGTTCCGAGGAACAATTCTTCTCCAGTGTCGAAAATAGCGTGATGAGATTGGTGCCTTCTTGTCTTGTTCAGACCAATGATGTCATACTGGATCATTCGTGCTTATACCATCAGGTCCTTGATGGATGCATCTGATGCTAGCGTACGTGTATTGAAAGTACAGACGATCATTTTTGTCTTCCTTCGTTGTGGCAGCCTAGTTCGGCCTTGAGATTTTATCGGCCTCTCCTTTCTCATCCTTCTCAATGCTGCTATATTTGTGATGCTTTCAGGGTCAGGGGAATGAGACCCATTGTAATTACTGGCTTTGGCATATCGAATACACAACGGATAGCTTGCAAGGCTCTGCCATGCTGGTGGAATACTCTCGGTAGCTTGCCAGGCTTTCTGAGAGGGATAGAAGCTTTTGGGGCTACCTCTAGTCGCCCTTGTAGGTGTTACCATATTTGAACCCTATCAAATATGGTACGGCAATTCTGGAAGATGGCTATTTAGTGTCCAATAATGTGTCGCGTGGCCGCTCCAGCCGAGACTCACGCACAACTGAAGCCCCACAGAACAAGATAAACGGAACTCGGAGACCTAGGACTCCAGGCTCAACGGACCCAGGGACAGATTCTCTGCTTGCTGGCTGCCACCAACCACAGGTGACGAAGGGATTAAAATCAGGAGCCCCACCCTACCCTGCCCTGTCTGCTTCCATCGACCTACATCTGATTATTGAGTTTTAGTGTTCCAACATAACTTATACTTTTTTTTTTTTTTTGCTTTTTGGATCACACCTGGCAATGCACAGGGGTTACTCCTGGCTCTGCATTCAGGAGTTACTCCTGGTGGTGCTCAGGGGACCATATGGGATGCTGGGAGTCGAACCCGGGTCAGCCGCGTGCAAGGCAAACACCCTACCCGCTGTGCTATCTCTTCAGCCCCATGACTTATACTTTCAAGGGATAAAATAATTGTTTTTTTTTCTTGTTTGTTTTGGGGCCACACCTGACTATACTGAGAGGTTACTCTTGGCTCTGTGCTCAGAGATCACTTCTGGTGGTGCTTGGGAAACCAGGGACAGAAAGCTTGGTTGGTCCACACAAGGCAGATGTCCTACCCTGCTTTACTATCTTTCCAGCCTGGGGATATAATAATTGTATTTAAAAAGTTACTACTGGACTGTGGATATCAGTCACTGGAGGAGCACTTGCTTCATCTGTGTGAGGTCCTGTGATTGATTTTCAGCACTGAAAAAAAAATAAAATAAGTAAAGCTACCTTCTGTTCAAAGCACCAGGAAAGGGAGCTGGAGAGATAGTACAGGGGTTAAGGGAGGTACCTTGCATGTGGCTGACCCTGGTTTGATTCCCAGTATTGCATATGGTCTTCTGAGTACTGTCAGGAGGGTGAGGAGTGACCCCTTAAGCATAGAGCCAAGAGTATACTCTGAGCACCGCCTGATGTGCGCCCCTTTCAAAAATCAACCAGGGAGGAAATAAGGAGGACGAGCAGAAATGGGACAGAAGTATACTTTAAATAAATCATTTCCCTCCTCCCCCCGCCCAGGGTTTTACTTTTACTCATTTCCTGAGTTTTCTTTTCTTTTCTTTCCTTTCCTTTCCTTTTCTTTTATTTTCTTTGATCGCCTGATTTATCTGTCAAAAAAGTTTTTCTGGGCTGGAAAAATAATACAGTAGTGAAGGTACTTACCTTGCACATGGTGAACCTGAGTTTGATTCCATTCACCACATAAGGTCCTCTGAGCACTATCAGGAGTGACCTTTCAGCACAGCACCAGGAGTAAGCCCTGAGAAAAGTGGAGTGTGTCTCCAAACAAAAAATAAACAAAAAGGGGCTGAAGTGATAGTACAGAGAGTAGCACACTTGCCTTGCTTGCAGCCAACATGGGTTCAATCCCTGGCATCCCATATGGTCCCCCAACCATAGCCAGGAGTAATTCCTGAGTGCAGAGCCAGGAGTAACCCCTGAGCATTGCTGGATATGCCCCAAAGGAAAAAAAGCACGAACAAAAACAAACAAAAAAAATGACACCCTGGCACGAAGAAACAAAGCAAGGGGATTAGACAATTCCCAATTGGAAGCATTTCTGAGATGAGGTCAACAGACCTTGGATCAGAGGGGCAGAGGCGGGAGGAGGAGGATGGGACCTTGGAAGAGTGAATACTGGAGAGGTCCTGGCATTGTGGTGATGGGCATGGTATAGCATGTGAAGCAAATATTGTATTACATAAGTACAATAATATTTTTTATTATCCCTAAATTTGGAGTGCTACAGAAAATATCAAGATACTATACTTAATTTATAATTATTTTTTTCATTATTTGAATACCAGTTTAGCTATACTGAGCTATGACACGCTCATTCGTGATGATAATTTAATGCAATCAGTCTCCTTTTTTTTCTTTGTTCTGCCATTCTTCTATTTTTCTGCACTGTATTAGAAAAGGATACGGTGTTCAGCCATCTTAGCCATGAGGTCATCATTGTCGAAAAGCAACAGGCAGATCACAGCAATAATGAAAAAAGTAGCCCCTCTTGTCTGAAAACAAAGAAAAGAATACTCAGGAAGGTTTTTTTAAAAGAGTTGATTTTAAAGACCATGAGAATATAAAATACTAAAGAAAAATATTTTTTAATTTAAATTTATTTTAATTTAAAAAATACCTAACATTGAAGTTCTAATACTACACAAGTTGATAATAATGTTTGCGTATAAAAGCTCCAACATATTCTGCAGGATATTTAAAGGCACAGAGTACCTGGCTCATTAAGAGCCAGCTTAATGGGCTGGTGTGCAAGCTTTGCATGAGGGGAGCCTGGGTTCGATCCCTGGCACTGCAGGGTCCCTGGAGTACTGCTTGAATATGGTACCCTGAAACAAAAAACAAAAATCCCCCAATAAACCCAACTAAGCAAGGGATATATGGAGCTATTTTGCAACTTTTCTTTTTTCTTTTTTTTTTTTGCTTTTTGGGTCATACCTGGCAATGCACAGGGGTTATTCCTGGCTCTGCACTCAGGAGTTACTCCTGGCGGTGCTCAGGGGACCATATGGGATGCTGGGAATCGAACCCGGGTTGGCCGCCTGCAAGGCAAACGCCCTACCTGCTGTGCTATGTCTCCAGCCCCTAGTTTGCAACTTTTAAGGAATATATATTTCAAAATTAAAAGTAAAAACCAGAGCTGAAGAGACAGTATAGGAAGGCAGACATCTGCCTTACACACAGCTGATCTAGTTGGATCCCAGCACGACATATGGTCCCCTGAGCAGCACCAGGCATGAGCCCTTAGCACAGAACCAGGAGTAAGCCCTGAGCACTGCTGGGTGTGGTCCAACATCCCCCTCCAACAAAAAGAGTAACAACCAAAACATCTGTAAGAAAATAATAAAATGAACAACAGCACAAAGTCCTGCATCCTTTTAAATTCTAAAATATATCGCTTGGGATAAATTTTTTGCTTGTAACTAATAATGGAAAATTCTACCTTGGCTGGTCCTCCTCCAGAACTAGTGAACAAAACACTAAGTAGTGAGATGACAACAATATCACTGTGTTCAAAAAGCAGCAGAGTTCTAAAAAAAAAAAAAAAAAGCCCAACATTATCTTTCATGAGATACATCTAATTTTTATCAGGAAAACAAATGAGTTAGAGTTAAACAAAAATTTCCCCTGATTTCATAAAACATTATGGGAATAATAAACAGGTACAACTGATTTAGAAAATACTTTGGCATTACCTACCTAGAAAGCTAGTACTACAATACCACCAACATTATTAACGGGGTTACATCACACAAATATCTTGTGTGTGTGTACAGGAAACACAAGACTGTTGCAGAAGCACTGTTTGCAGGAGCCCCAAACTGGAGGCATAAATGCCCACAGAAATGTAGTGTGTGTGGTGCGCTGTGAGCATATACACACAGCTAAACTTACATGCATTAAAATGGGCAAATCTCAAACACACATTGAATGGAAAGTATGCTGCAGAAAAATATATGCAGTGTAATTGTATTTATAAAGTGAGAAACTTATAAGGTTAAATACTAAAATGATAATGTGCAGATGTGGTAAAACTACAAAGAAAACGATAATGAAAACTAGATATGCTCACTATTACCTAATGATGGGGGGATATGTAAGTTTTCAAAGATACTGGTAAGGTTTTTTCCTTTGGGGAGTTGAATACAGTAGGCTTAATTATTATCAAAAACATATCTAGTTAGAGTTACTCTTGAAAAAAGTTTATTTTTGGTTTCTGGGACACACCACCTTGGTGCTCAGGTCCACTTTAGTATCCAGAATGAAATTCTTGAGAACACCCTTCATTTTACTGAGCCTCCTCATAATTCCCTCTGCTCATCAATGGCAAGACCCCTTTTCCGTATACTTTTAGGCAATAAGTAAAACTCACAGGAGACAGGAAAACATCAAAACAGGACTATGAACAGCTACATGTTACAGTTCCTTTTAAATGAAGAGGCTCTTTATCACTGTCCCATTGAACTGACCCATTTACACAAAAACATGACACCAAACACATCTAGAGGAATGTGAAATGTAAGTTAACTGCTCCTTCCGGGCTGGCCTAAAATAGCCCCAGCAGGGTGACTGCATTCGTTTCCACTGCCGCCTCCACAGCACTGATTCGGAGATGAGGCCCAGGCCTGGCCCCTTCCTGCTGTGCCTTGGCCTTGATGCCTCTGGCCTGCCCCATCCTCCCTGGCCTTGGTTTCTGCACCTCTAGACTCATGGGTTACAACAGAGTTCTAGACTGCTCCCTACTTGGAACATTCAGCCCGTATGCGGGTTTTGTTCTGTCGCGGTCCACAGGCAAAGCATGGGGGCTATTCATTTCTGACTCAGTGCCTGGAGCGGCTCCCAGCCACACGTGGGGACTGCATGGTGCTGGTGATGGAACCCAGCCCTCTCTCCTGCGAGCAGCCCTTTGAACTGTCTTCCCCATCCTGAGTTAATTCAACTTAAATCTGATGACTGACACACTATTTCCAAGACATTTATTTAGAATCAAATGTCATTTATAATCAAATCACAGTACTTAAGAAAATACCTTTAAAAAAATTCAAAGATTCTGATCTCTTCTTTATTGGTTTATTTTCTTATTTAACTTTTTATTTCTAAAATTAGCCACTAAAACAGAATACCAGTGATTAAAAAGAAAATCTCTTAGGCTAAAAATTTTCTGAAATTCAGTGAATTCAAATGGGTGAGACAGCTATAATATCAACAACATACGAATGGATTCATCAGAGAGCTAGCCTATTTGCTGAGTTATAGCCAATGCTATAGAAGGACACTGGCATGTAATCTGACATGTGTAATATCAAAATAGATAAAAGCTAATATTAAAAATAGAATCAAGATATGCACTTTAATTTACCTTAATGGTCCACAAAGAGTAAGGCCAAAAAACCACAGGAGAGAAATGATACACCCAGCAACTGCATGTTTAAATATTTTGATCCACTATAAATAAAAAGACACAACAGCAACCAAAAATTCAGTCATATACATATATATGCTCTGGTAAATATCTCAAAATCTTCAATAAGAGACAAAGGTAAAGATAGTAATATCACAAATTTAAAAGGCTAAAAAATGACATATTCTAAAGTAAAAAAAAAGTTAGGAGTCCATGAAATTTAGGTTTGCATGATAGTATTAGATGGTGGAATGTTTTTTCTCCCCCCACCCCTTTTTCAGTCCAGGCATTGAATCCAGGCTGCCCACATGGAGTATGTGGTCTTCCACGGAGTCACATCTCTGACCCTTAGATTTGCTTTCCTACAGAACGCTTTCCTAAAATCATCTGCATCTGAGCCTGGGGTGCCTAATATCTCTTCCTTTACTCACTCTTTCTCTGGTAGCCACAATCCCTTCTCTGTCTCTCTGTCCCTCCCTCTATGTCACATTCTCCTTAGAGTTAGAATCTTCTTTTGGTAAAACTTTTTTTTTTTTTGGTGGGGAGGGGGTTGGAGCAGGCAGGGCATTTGCCTTGCACATGGCCGACCCGGGTTCGATTCCTCCGCCCCTCTCGGAGAGCCCGGCAAGCTACTGCGAACATCTCACCCGAACGGAAAAGCCTGGCAAGCTACCCGTGGCTTATTTGGTATGCCAAATACAGTAACAAGTCTCACAATATTACTGTGTTAATGTTACTGGTGCCCGTTAGAGCAAATCAATGATCAACGGAAGACAGTGCTACAGTGCTTTTTAAAAAATTTTCTGGCCACAATGGCAATGCTCAGGGCTTATTCCTGGCTCTAGGAATTAATCCTGGACGGGCTTGGATTAACGTGGTCCTGTAACTGGGGTTGACCTCATGCAGGGCAAGTGCTATTGTTCCAGCCTGTACTGTTGTTCCAGCCCTCTAATTACTTCACGGTAATAAAAAAATTGAAAAAAATTCTCTTTTCCATTAGTTTTTACTAGTTTTCTAACAAAAAAATGTTTTAGCCTTTAAATCCCTTCAACAACGTTCAGGGCTTTGAGCATTTGAAAAGAAACAGTTGAAGGAGTATAATTATTAATCCTAGGCCAGAGAGATAGTACAGAGGATGAGGTGCTCACGCAGCATGTGGCTGGCCCTAGTCCCCAGGTTCCTTCACCACTCCCAAGGGTGACTCCAAAGCTCTGTCTGAGCCACAAGTAGCCCAACCTCCCATCCCCAAACAAATTAACCCTGTTTTCCATGATGCTCTTGTCTCTAAAATGGAGATACTTAGGTCTGTTGTTCTAATAAAAATAAATCTTATGTTTCTAAGCTGTGGCATATATGAAACAAAGAGCAGGATATAATGACTGTCCAAAGAGATGATTGTGCAGGGTATTTATGGTAAAAATCCCGAACCTGAAATACTCGAAGGGAATGGTAATGGTAGCAGTGAAAGGTAGTCTACAGTTTACTCACTCCATGACTTTATATGTATTAGTGCTTTCCTTACTGATCCATTACAAAGCTATATCCCCTGTCTGTTTTACAGGTGAGAAAACAGAAAAATCTGCCAAAAGTAAGCGTAAGTGGGACATATAATATGAATTTTCGTGACTGTAGAAGCTTCTCTCTTCCTCCAATCTACACAAATATTAATCATAGTTTAAATAACAGGGTTACCATTGTTCATGTTTATGATTTTGGTATACAAAGTTACTGCACCTTCTCTATATCCAAAATGCCCACTGTCCTATCCCTTCTGAAAGATCAGAGAGGTTGTCTATTCTAATCTAGCCGTAATCATAATTCTAGCCATTCTTCTTTTTTTCGGCCACACCCTATGATGCTCAGGCTTACTCCTGGCTCTGTGCTCAGGGATCACTCTTGCTGGTACTCAGGGCGCACCATACTCAGTGCCGGTGATCAAACTGGGGTTAGCATGGCAAGCAACACCATTCCTGTACTGTCTCTCCAGTCCACGAGGACTCAACTTTTAATCCCCATTCTCTATCTACTTCCCAGTGGCATTCCTATTAAGTTCTCGAGCAACATACCCATGTCTGATTTGTAAATTTTTTAGAAAAGCTTTTGTTACAGAAAATAATTATAAACACACTTTAAAATTGTCAAAAATTTTATTGAATCACTGTGAATTACAAAGTTACAATTATTCATGATTGGGTTTCAAGTATACAACGTTCCAGACAGACACCAATCCCTTCACCAGTGTCCCCTACCTGCCACCAATGTCCCAAGGTTCCTTCCTACCCTCTAGTCTGTCTCCATAACAGGCATTTTTTTCTTTTTTCCCCCCAGCCCCTTTTAGGTACCATGGTTTACAATACTGTTACTGAGATGCCCATGCACAACACTTTCAGCACGTGGTGGTCCCTTCCCTGAACTATGCCACCTCCCTACCCAGTGGCCAGCTTTCTACTAAGGACCAGTTCTTCCATGGTTTACAATTTTTCTACTTTCCTCTTTAAACATCTCACTAATTTAGCAATTAATTTAGTCCTGAAGTCTCAATTCTGGAAAGACAAGTCAACAGCGGCAAGTGAATCACTATTCTGGTATACAATTCGATAATTCACTAAGGGACCCTGGGCAAGGACAGAGCACTGGATTCCTGACCCACTGAAAGAAAGCTAGGGAAAAGGTTACACTTTTTACTCACCTGGCGTTTGGTAATACTCTTCCCAGAAGAAAATGGCTTTTGAAACAAAACCATAAAAAATGCAGTCCTGCAAACATTGAAACATTAGCATCAATCAATCTTACGTTACAAGAATAGTCTGAAGTAACTATACATATATATATTTTAAGTACAAGAATTCTATGCCTTTGAAAAAATTTTGGTTTTGTTTTAGGGCCACACCTGGCTGTGCTCAGGGCTTACTGCTGGCTCCACACTCACGAATCACTCCTGGTGGGCTTGGGGGTCCATATGGGGTAACGGAGATAAAACCCAGGTCATCTGCGTGCAAGACAAAAGCACCCTACCAGCTGTACTATCGTTCTTTTTTTTTTTTTTTTTTTGCTTTTTGGGTCACACCCGGTGATGCTCAGGGGTTACTCCTGGCTCATGCACTCAGGAATTACTCCTGGTGGTGCTCAGGGAACCATATGGGATGCTGGGAATTGAACCTGTGTTGGCCACGTTGGCTGCTTGGCTGCGTGCAAGGCAAACGCCCTACCCGCTGTGCTGTTGCTTTAGCCCCTGTACTATCTTTCTGACGCCAAAGATTCTCTGCTTTTTTAAAAAGTCCCCCCCTCCTTTAGTTGTTGATGACCAAGGCTGCACTGAGGCCTGGCCGTGGTGCTTGTGAATTTTTGCTGTTGTCACTGGGGCTTGGATAGACTCAGCAGCAGTGCTCACTGCGGCTGGCACTCCTTTATCTGAGGTACTCGGAACCCGTGTTTTTGGGCCCACGCTGTCAGTGGGGTGCATGCACGTTACGATGGCGGTGTTTGCCAGGGGTCTGTGACGCTCACGCATGTGCTAGCCAGGGGTCATGTTTCTGGCCGCGGTGCTCGCACATCTTTTAAGCCACAGGGCTTATACACATGGCTGCAGCCCCAGGGATCGAGAGCAGAGCTCTCCGGGCTCTAAGAGCAAGCTGCCTGGATTGTGCTGGACACATGCACATGGCATGCAGGAATTTTGTTTTGTTTTGCTTTTAAGGTCACACCCAGCCAGGTTCTCAGGGGCTGGTCCCAGCTTGATGCTTGGTCTTCACTCCTGAGGACCGACCCTGGGGCTCCAGGATGTAAAACACACGAACCGGGCCACTGAGCTATGCCCAGGCTCTTGACAACGGGAATTTGAACTCAACACCACAGGCTTGAAAGAGCACCTTTCAAGGTAGGTGCTCTGAGCCTCTGCATGATTCCTCTACCCCCAAGACACTTATATTTAAACGACTACTCCAGAGACTGCAAAGTATGTTATCCTCTAGAGAAGCATTAGAGGAGAGCTATATTTATTTATTTTTGCTTTTTGGGTCACACCTGGCGATGCACAGGGGTTACTCCTGGCTCTGCACTCAGGAATTACTCCTGGTGGTGCTCAGGGGACCATATAGGATGCTGCGAATCGAACCCGGTTCGGCTGTGTCCAAGGCAAACGCTCTACCTGCTGTGCTATTGCTCCAGCCCCCAGAGCTATATTTATTTAAATAGGGCAGAATTCTAAAGCTTCTACTGCAACATACTGGGAACTCCTTTTTTTGCAACCGTCTTTACAACCAGTCACAAACCACAAAAGAAAAGAAGTCTCAATATTTTTTCATACTTTAACAAAATAATTAATATTTTCTCCAAAATTTAGTGACATCAAATTTTAAAATAACTGTAATAAAGATTATGACTTGACACTTATTTCTAAACTAGTCACATAAAATAATATAGTGGTACTTAGATTTCCCTAATAGTCACATTTGATAATTACTAAAATTATATTTCCTGAGGTTTTAAGAATATTTTAAAAAATTGTTTATTTTGGGAGGCATTTTTTGGGCCACACCTGGCGATGCTAAGGGGCTACTCTTGACTTTACACTCTGGTATCGAAATTCCTCACAGTGCGCAGGGGACCATATGGAGTACTGGGTTGGCTGCATGTAAGGCAAACACCCTATGAACTGCACTATTGCTCAGTCCTCCCTAACGTTTCCAACAGATTTTTATTAAAGATGATGGTCGCCATTAATTTCAAAGCCCAGAGAATTTTAAGAGAGAATTTCTTATTAGCTGCAGAACAATGTCAAAGTTGTATTACCCAAGGATCTTGCAGTGTGAGGAGCATGCAGTAAACAGAAAACAATGTGCTTGCACGAGAGGGTAAGAAGCAATTGTGCCAAAACATGGCTGAGGCAACATTTGGTGCCCGAAGAAGGTGGGGCCACACCAGGAATATAGCTGAGAACCCTCGGACCAGAGAGATAGTACAGTGGGTAGAGCACTTGTTTTGCACCTATGATATGGGTACCAGATATGGTCTTCTGAGCCCACCAGGAGTGATCCCTGTACACAGAGTGAGGAGTAAGCCCTGACTATCACCAAGCATGGTTCCCAACCTCCCCACCCTCCGCCCAAAAATGAAACAAAACAAAACCCCCAAACAAATGGACAAAAAAAAAAAAAAAAAAAAACACCAAAAAAAAAAAAAAAAAACCCAAGCCCCAGAATCCTTCAGGCAGCCACTGAGACTTCTGAGACTGTGAGGTCAAAACCACTTTTATTTGCTGCGGTGCTGGGAACTGAATCCAGGGCTTCAGGCATTTGAGGCATGTGCTCCACTATTCAAAGCTTTCTATAAACTCACAAACCCATGATGGCCTGTTTCACTCTTATTCTTTCAGAATAAGAGTGACTTTTTTGGAGGCTAGCTGATGTGACACTGAAGTGGACCGAATGTAAAAGCTGCCAGAAAAAGCATACTATCCCCATTAACGCAAACTAAAGAAACAGTCTATATTTTAGCAAACTAGTACATACAATGCTCCGTATATAAAAGTCTTTTTTCTGGTACTTTAGGGTACTCATTTTTAAAAACCGTACATATTCATGTCAGGCTTTGCAATAAAAAGAGTAAAATAGTCTATGCAATATTTCCTAATGATATTCTGGTCAAACAGGATTATCAAAAAAAACAAAATAAGAAACAGTCAAAGAAAAAAAATCACACTTACCCAAGTTTTGATATAAAAATAAATTGAACAATGTGAACTACTTTTAGGAGATCATATGATTCAAAAAGTCCAACAGCCTTCAAAAATTTGGTGAGGCATAGCAACACAATATATATCGTTAACCTGAAAAGTAAAAAACAAGCTTCAGTATCAGTAAAACCCCAAGGAACTCTGTAATATTCCCCCCCCTTAATTATACAGGTAATAGAAACCATAAACTCATACAAATAAAGATGAAACAGTACTAAAGCCCTCATCATCCACACAACTACTGTTAACACCTTAGCATATACATTTCAGATTATTATTTCCTTTTTTTTTTCTTTTTGTGTCACACCCAGCGATGCTCAGGGGTCTGCACTCAGGAATTACTCCTGGCAGTGCTTGGAGGACCATATGGGATATCAGGAATCGAATCCAGATCGGCTGCATGCCAGGCAAATGCCCTACCTGCTGTACTACCACTCCGGCCCCCAGACTGTTACTTTCAAGGTACACAAACGTATACATTACACAGCCTCTTACAAGATTAAGAACATAACAACAACAGCAAAACAGGACTAGGGAGACAGTGTCGAGGTCAGGGATTGCCAGTACTACTGGGCAAGGTCTGAAGCAGTGCCCAGCACTACAGGGGCCCCAGCACTCTGCACAGCCTGGTCCTAGCCGTGGCTGTCAGGCCTGCTTGCCAGAGTACTGCTGGGTACGGCACGCAGGCCCTAAAGTACTGCTCGGAAGGGGCCCTACCAAAACCAACCTCTGAAAAAACAAAAAAGTATATGTGTGTGTGTGTGTGTATGTGTGTGTGTGTGTGTGTGTGTGTGTTGGGGGGAGGAACAAAAAAAAATGGTATTCCCAAAGAGATAAAAAAAAAAAAAAGAACCCAGAAACCATGGGCTAGAGCACACGACTGGCAGTGGCAGGTGTCAAGCACCAAGTGTGATCCCAGCACTGCACTCCCTGTCCTAACTCAGCCCTCAACATTGCCAGGTGCACCCCCTATTAGAAAGGTGAAAATAAAAATGAACTTTATGATGAATCTAGAGGGCTATAGTCCAGAAGTATGAGTTCAAAGTACGGGTGCGCAACGCATACATCGGTGGCCAAGGGCCACCTCCCCAAACTCAGGTGGCCAATTGCGATGGACGAAGAAAGAGGCTGGTAATCAGTGATCGTTTATTCATTTTTTCACAGCATTAGTTATGTAGAATTCGTGAAGGGCGGGGCGGGGTACATATAGGTGGGGTTGAACATTACCATCACCAACATCCTGTTGTTTGTTGATTGCCTCGAGCAGGCCCCAGTAACGTCTCCTTCTATGTCTCCTTTGTTCTAACCCTGAGATTTTTTTTTTAAGTGCCATATCAAAGCTCATTCAGGGTTAGGAGAATGAGACCCATCATTGTTACTGGTATCTGGCATATTGGGGACGCCACAGGGAGTTTGCCAGACTCTGCCGTGTGGACAGGCTACATTGGGGTTGAACACAATCCTAGCAATAAACAGACGTAAAGACCCTCCTTCAGGAGAAGTTCATCTAGGAGATCAACTCAAGGACAAAAATCCCATCTGGGGGTCTCGCACTCTAGATTACTAGGAGATGTGCTCAAGGTGGGATTCCATCTAAGGTCTACTGGTTTCTCCTTTCCTAAACTAGTAATCTATTTAAACAATCATATTCAATTTACTTTCTACTAATATTTCTAGTCATTTTGTATGAATACAGTAAGAGATATATTAAGCTAAGGAAGTGGCTCTTCCTGGGGCTATCTTGCTGTATTTCCCAGACGACGGTCCTCAGGCCAAGGTAGTCTTTCCTAACCCCAGCAGAGTCCTTGTTCAGTTATTTCTTTGGGTCATGAAAGAGTTTGTGCTATGACCATGCTCTTAACTTATTATACTTCATTTGGCACTTGGCCTGCCCTTTTTCGATGCCAGGGTAGCTTACAGTTTGCCCCGGGCCCATCTAAGTCCCTCACTGGTACCCTCCTTTTGGGAGTGTTAGGAAGTAAGGGTAACTGAGACTTAAGTCAGGTAAATAAGATGCATGCCCAGGAGTAAATATTATCCGGAGTCCATGTTACAAAGGCATAGCATGAACTGTCTTCCTGTGTCTATACAGAAAGGACAATGCTAAACCATGCAAAGGATATAAAGGAAAGAGAAAAGCAATATAGGATTAGGAGTGTGTGATCCTGATCAAATTGGGTGTGCCCTAGGAGCATCTGAGGGATGCATCTCAATAAACTAACCTCCCTGCGTGAGGCGCAAGGATAAACCAAAGTTATCCAACACGAGGCTTCCTCTTCCTCTGCTTTGCTCAGCAACTGCAGTGAGGGCTGTGGCGGAAATGCCAACTCACAACACCCCTAGCCTGGAAAGGCTCTGGAATTAAAAGTGCCCCATAAAGGGAGCTGGAAAAATGGAGGCTTGTTCACACATCATGCAGTAACTAGAAGCACAGATTCCCATCAGTACAAACCAGGAAATCAGGAGATATGAGGCTCAGCCTCAGGAAAGGTCCAGAGCAAGACAACGAGGAAAGAGGGCTAAAGCACTGAACTACAAGCATGGAGGCTTAAGGAAGCTTCCTTTCTTACTGCAGATCCTCTCTTCTCTCATTTAATCCCAATATTCCAAAAGCAAGACTTCAGATACCACAGCGGGTAGGGCGTTTGCCTTGCACACGGCTGACCTGAGTTTGATTCCCAGCATCCCATATGGTCCCCTGAGCACCGCCAGGAGTAATTTCTGAGTGCAGAGCCAGGAATAACCCCTGTGCATTGCCAGGTGTGACCCCCCAAAAAGCAAAAAATAAAAAAAAAAAAAAGCAAGACTTCAATCTCCTGGCCAATGAACTTAGAGAAACTAACTCGGGGAGAAATCCCAATACAGCGGTCTTCTAACTAGATTTTTGAATATGAATATGAATATGGATGAGTAATCAATCCGTATTGTTTTTCTGGAGTGTGGGGGTGGCACATCCAGTTTTCAGGGTGTGATGTATAGGGATCACTCCCAATGGTGCTAGGGACTGAATTCAGGTTTTCTGTAAGCAAAGCACATGCACCAACTATTTTATTTATTTCCCTATCCCTGGAAAAATAATCCCTTAAGTCTACTAGGTTCAGAGAGATAATACAGTGGGAACGGCACTTGCCCTTGACCGGGGTTCAATCCCTGGAATCCCATATGGTTCCTTAAACCTGCCAGGAGTAAGCCCTGAGCACTGCAAAAAAACTGTGTGGCCAAAAACTGCATACTAAACAAAGAAAAATAATAAAAATTGAAAAAGTAACAAAGATGGTAGAGAATAGTATGAAAAAAAATACAAAAGACCATAATATTCTGACAAAAGAATTACGCATCTCTGAAAAAAATCAGGCTGCCATCAAAAGAAAAGTACTTCTCTTACAAGTGTTAGGCCTTGAGTTCACGGACCCACATGACCAGTCAACCCACAACCCAGTGGGTGATCCAAAGGTACACACACTGCAACTAAGTCTGTATAACCCCGGTCACTGCAACACAAAGAGGAAAGGGACAGAGGAGAGATAATGTAAGAGTCCTTAAAAAAAAAAAAAAGCAAAGGAGGCTGGCTGGGAACTGGCTCACTGGGTTGGAGTGCAGGAGGTACCCTGAGTTTGATCCCCCGCAACACAGTCTTCCAGCACTGCACTTCGAGGAGTGACCCTGGAACACTAAGCCGAGTGAGAGTGGTCCCTGGGGGTGAGACAAAAAAGAAAAAAAAAAAAACAAAGAAAGAGGAAGAAAGGAATTGCCAAAGGAAAAACTAGAAAATAGGGACGAAATGCTGGGTTTTTTTTGTTTTTAAAGTTTTTGGGCCACAACCGGCAATGCTCAGGGGTCTGGCTCTGTGCTCAAAATCACTCCTGGCAGTTTTCAGGGAACTATATGGGATACTGAGAATTGAAACTCAAGTCAAGTGCCCTATGCTGGACTATCACTCCTGTCCCCATATTTTTTTTTTTAGATTAGTAATATTTGTGTTTGTTTTCTTTTGAGGCCAAATCTGAAGTTGCTTAGGGTTTACCCTTAGCTCTGCACTCAGGGATCATTCCTGGTAGTGTTCCAGGGACTATATGAGATGCCAGGGACTGAACCCAGGTCATCTGCTTGCAAGGCAAGTGCCCTACCTGCCGTACTATCACTGCAGACCAGGAGAAATAAAAATCACAACACTTTAGGAATCCTTGGTCGTGACAAAGAGCCTTGAGCATAGCCCAGGGGCCATTTCTTCAAACATTCCTTGCTCACCTACTCAGTGCCAGGTGCCAGGTGGCATGTCCCTGAGGGAGTGCCACCTGTGCCTGAGGGAGGCATGAGACAAACAGCTTCCTTACTAGTAAAATTTATTTTTACTTTTTTTTTTTAACTTTTCGGGTCACACCTGGCGATGCTCAGGGGTTACTCCTGGCTTTGCACTCAGGAATCACTCCTGGGGGTGCTCAGGGGACCATATGGGATGCTGGGCATCGAACCCGGGTCAGCTGTGTGGCTGTGTGCAAGGCAAAGGCCCTACCCGCTGTGCTATCACTCCAGCCGCTATTTTTACATTTTTAAAAAACGCCGAGACTATCTAACAAAGCTGTCTGTTCTATAACAAGTCTGATGATGAAAACTGGTTCAGGCAGGGGGGCGGGGGGGTAAAGTCAAAGAATCCAGGTTCTTAGATGGTCTCACCGAGAAGCTGGATATACACCAGCAGCCTCTGGTTTCTTCTATGTGAGAAAACACTCGTACTTGTTTAAAGCTCTCCTGGCTTGGTAACTTAACAATTAAACCCATTTCTGGGAACTGTCCATAACTCTGAACACTGTACTTAGTCGAGAGAGAGCCTGCCCACAATGAGTCTGAGGTTTCAGAAAAGATAGGTAACAGAAAAACATCTACGTGGGCCAGGTAAGTAACAGTTCTAAAAAACACGACAGTGTACACAGCTAATTGTAACTAGGCAAGTGAAGGTGACCCTCTGAGTCTATAGGAGTGTCAAGGCCAGGGAAGGGTATTTCATAGGACACGAAGCAGCATATACAAATTAACACCTAGGAAAGAGCCTTTGGAGAAATAACAGTGTTTAAGCCCAGTTTACTAAATGAATCCTCATAACAACTGAGAAATCAGCACGATTATTTATAAATCAGTAAATTATACAGTTCTTTTTGTTTTGGGGCCATACCCGGCAATGCTCAGGGGTTGCTTCTGGCTTTGCACTCCGGAACTACTCCTGGCATGCTAGGGGGACCACATGGGACGCTGCAGACTGAATCCGGGTTAGCCATGTGCAGGGCGACCCCCTACCTGCTGTACTCTCACTCTGGTCTCAAATTATATACTTCTTAAGCATTAACAATATATAGTTATTTCTAAATAATTCTCGTTTGGCACTTCAATGGCACAACTTGGTCCTACAGAATCATTACTTAACGATAACAATACAGTTATGATCTTTCTTTCCCCATTTTCAATGTTTAGAAAGCAGATTAGGGGCCAGAGAAAGAGCTCAACACGCTGAATATGAATGCTTTTCATGCTGGAGGTGCGGATTTGATCCCTGTCCATGGTCCCCAGCACAACTGTCAGTGAGTTCTGAGCCAGGAGTAGTCCCCGACCCCTCCATCTCCCCTCCACTCCACTGAGCACCATCGGGGTGGATCAAAAATACTGAACTTTTCCCTTCACAAAAACGCAAAAGCAGAGATTACAGGGACCAGGGGGATAAAGTAGTGGTTAAGGGACTGGAGGGATATGGCAGGTAAGGTGCTCGCTTTGCACACAGATGACCGAGTTCAAACTCCAGCTGTGCTGGGGATCATGGACAGCCCATATGATTCCTCGAATACCACCAGGAGTAATTCCTGAGTGCAGAGCCAGGAGCAACCGCTGAGCATCACTGGGTGTGACCCGCTCCACAAAAACAAAACAAAACAAACAAAAAATAAAAACAGGGATCAAGGTGCTTGCTTTAGACGTGGCTGATCCTGGTTAGATCTTGGCACAGTGTCTGGTTCCCAGGGCACTGCCAGGAGTGATCCCTGAGCAGAGCCAGGAATAAGCCCTGAACACAGAGCCAGGAGCACTGCTGTAAAACAAACAAAAAAGCAGATATTACAAAAGTCATCCTTGAGCAGCTGGTTGATGAAAATGTTGATTTATTTTTATCTTCGGGGCTTACTAATTTATACACTGTGTTTGGGTCATTCAAACTTGCTTCTTGGATTTTTGCCTTCTGCAGCAGCTCACAGTTCTCTGATTAAAGGCAACAAAACAATATGTATAATTCAAGTCTGACTGAGTGAATAGATACTTCATGTTGTATTAAGGTAAGAGGCTTGATGGATGGGGTCTGGGTAACAGACCCCATTATGAGGTGTGCGACTGTGGGAAAATGTACTGCGGAAATCACAAGCTTAGTGTGTAACACTGTCCTAAAAATTTATTGAGATACTATACTCAAAGCACCTGGAACACAGGTATTTAGTAAATATTGGCTTGTCACCCTCTGCCCTTTCCTGTAAAGAGGACTTACAGTAGCCGAAACAGAAACACTTCAAAACAATTCTTATTTGTGTACTCAGGCAAACACACACACACACACACAATCTATAATTAAAGAATTTTTAGATTAGAGTTTGTTGCAGATACACCTTTTTCCCCCTTTTCCCTTTTTTGGTTTTTGGGCCACACCCTGAAGTATTCAGCACTTACTTCTGGCTCTATGTTTAGGGATCACTCAGGGTGGGGGACAAGATGGGAGTGCCAGGGATTGCATCGAGGTTAGCAGCATGCCAGGCAAGCACCCTGCCCGCTGTACTCTCTCTCCAACCCCACTATTTGATTTTTAACCTCAGAAGGACAATTCTTGGCCTCCTGAAATCTCTTCAAAGTGCAATCAGCACTAGGGCAGGGGAGAGAGTACAACTCAGCATCTGCTTTGATTGCCCAGGTTCTATCCCTTCTAACAGAGGTTCCTCCCCCCTCCCCCCCCCGAACAGACGCACCCTCAAGCACTGGTCTGAGCACCCCCACCCTAAAATCATGGGGCGTGGCTGCCCAAAACTGAAACAATTCTACCAGCCCCTCATTTAATTCCATCTGCCAATGACAAGCGCAACTCTGGAATCAAATACTGCAAGTTCACAGGCAAGGTGCAGCAGCACCCCCTTTATCTGGCTGCCCTGACTGGTCACATACTGTCCATTCCCAGAACCATTTAAGCGCCATACATCACGCCCCCCTTTTCTTGTACTTGCTGAGAACACGGGCAGCCTCTTGTAAGATCTGTGGTTATCGACTCCAGATAACCACATTTATTACTGATAGACACAGCTAATCTACCGTCCATAGTCCTTTTTTGTCAACTGAGCTAGTCCTCTCCTTTATAGCAAGTTTGTTTCCTCTACTGCCAAGTCGGGAGGGGGCAGAGTCGCTTTTCCCTGTCACAGTAAAAGGTAACTGACATGGCTCGTTACTCACCACGTTAAGTTGCTAACATCAAAACTAAAAAATGCCCCCAGGCACAGATCAGAAAACGAAATTCTGTCTCCAAGAACGCGTTGATTTCCCTGGTCCCAGCAGTCGGTGCGCTCTCCGCCCTCCCACGAGAGGGTGGGAATCTTCTTCCCTCCAGTTGCAGGGCAACGCGCTTCCGACCCCCAAACCCACCCAGGATAATGGAACGCGAGACCCAAGCCAGAGAACGCCGGCTCGGGCCAAAGCCAAGGCCGGGCAGGGGGCCTCCCCGCTCCCACCAGCGCTGCTCGCGCGGCGTGGGTCTCTGCCCACTGGACCCGACCCGCAGTGGCCGCGCGCGAGCGGGACCCCCGAGAGGCGGCTGGCTTCCAACGCACTTCTTAAAGATCAGGACTGCTACTGGCACCGCGTGCGTGGATGGGGCGGGAGGTGCGGGGACCGGGGCGCGCACGTCTCGCCAGCAGGAAGGCCAGCCAAGCGAGGGGAACCGGCGCGGGCCGGGGTGGCGGCGCGCGGAGGGTCATCCCCGACTCCGCCCGGCCGGCGCCCCCTGCTCCGAGGCACGCGGCGGGACGTCAGGGGTCTGGAGGAGCCACTGCACGAGGGCCAGAGCGAGGACCCTCGGGGGTCCCGGGCGGCCCGCACACCAGCCGCGGGGCCGGGGGCAGGGCGCGCCGGTCCCGTGCGCCCGGGCTGGGGCTCCCGGCGCGAGCGCGACCGGTCCCTTACCGAGCGCTGGGCACGTCCACCGGTCCGAGGCCGCCGCCGCCGCCGCCGCCCCCGGCGGGGCCAGCGAGCACGTCCCCGCCGTATTTCTGTTCCATCCCGGGGCTCAGGGGCCGCCGCCGCTGTCCCCGCCGCGGGGAGGACGCATGTCTGGCGCTGCCGCGGACCAGCGGGCGCAGGCGCTTCACTCCCCCATGGCAGCGCGGCCGTCCCGGGCTCGGGCTCCCAGTCCCCGGCGCGGCGCGGGCGCTAGGCCGCGGGCAGTTCCGGTAGCGCCGGCTCCCCCAGGGCCGCACCGCGGCGGACGTTGCCAGGCCACGTCACCGGCCCAGCAGCCCCACACCCCGGGGCCGGCTGCGCCTGCGCACGGCCCGGCCCGCGCCGCCTTGGCCCCGCCCGCCGAGGGGCGGGGCCGGGAGGGAGCGAACCTTGGCCCTCCAGGGGCGGCCCTCCTGCACCTGTCCCTGCAGCGCCCCCTGTAGGCTGTCTGGGATGCAGTGGGCGCGGCGGAGGGGAGTATGGGAAAGGCACAACGTGCGATTGAATTTATTTTATTTGATTTTACTTCTATTTTTTTAATTTTAATTTAATTTCCCCCATGTGTTTATTTTTTTAATTAAATCACAGTGACATACAGAGTTGTTCCTGATTGGATTTCAGTCATGTAATGTTCCAACATCCATCCCTTCATCCCGTGTACAAATCCCACCACCAATGCTCCCAGTCTCTCTCTCTTTCTCTCTCTCTCTCTCTTTCTCTCTCTGAATTCAAAGTTGACTGGATTTGGGAGGATTTTTGTTTGCTTGGGTTTTTCTGGCGGGGGGAGAGGTGAAAGATCACACCTGGTAGTTCTCAGGGCTTACTCCTCTGCACTCAAGGATCACGCCTGTCAGCGTCAGGGGTGAACCATGTGAGGTGCCGGTTGGCCTTGTGCAAGGAAAGTATCTCACCTGCTGTAGAATCTCTCCACTCCTAAAATTGACTGTTAAACTGTGCTGCTTAATCCTGGTACATCTGCAAAATTAGGCCAGGGAGGATTAACCTACTAGGGTCATTTTTCTAAAAACATTTAATACTACTTGCTAAAACATTAGGAAGCAGCTCTTGGGTCTGTCTTGGTTTAAATATCAGCTCTGCCACCTAGTAATTGTGTCATCTTACTGCAACTTTTCAAATTTAATTAATTTAGTTTTTTTGGGGGGGTGGCCACACCCAGCATTGTTCAGGTACTGATTCTGGGCTTGTGCTCAGGGCTGACCCCTGGCCCTGCTTGAGGGACCATACACTGAGTGTGTATTTGTGTGTGTGTGTGAGGGGGGGCAAATCAGAGTGGGTGTCCCAAAAGACAAGCACCTATTCCCTGTACCATCTCTTCACTTGCTGAACTTTAACATCTTATCTGTCAACTGAGTTATAATATTCATATGAGGAGGCGGATGGGAGAATATTACAGATTAATATGTGACAAGTTAATATGTAACTGGTATGTAGAAAACAAATGTTAGCTATTTTTATTACCCTGGGAAATTTGGAGGCTGGAATTTTCAAAATAAAAGTGGTGTTCTGATCAGTGAAAAGTATGATTAATTTACAATACGTTTTTTAATATACACAAAGAGTCTCAGTAACAAAAGAACAATCTCTCTCTGTTGGGACTTCGTAATCTGTTGGGGAAATATTTAGTAGTTGGAAAGCAAGGTATGTTTGCCGTATTACACATGAAAGGCACAGATGTTAAGGTTTCCTAAATAAGGTGTGAAGTGGGTTTAACTGGAAAGGACTTGCTAAGAAAAAACTCTGACTTAGAACATGGATACAGTTTTGGATGTGGGAGAAAAGGCATTGTGGGAAGACATATTCTGTGTTTCCTGTGTCAAACACAGGCATTAAAGGCTAAAATTACAGGACTGGAGAGATAGTACAGGGGTTAAAGTGCTTGTCTTGCACACAGTGAGACTCTGTTTAATCCCTGCCACCACATATGGTCCTCTGAACATCACCAGGATTGATTCTGAAGTGCAGTTCTGTAAGTCCTAAGCACTGCCAGGTGTGGTCCAAACACACACACACACACACACACTTTTTTTTTTCTGCCTTTTCGAATCACACCCAACACAGGGGTTACTCCTGGTTCATGCACAGGAATTACTCCTGATGGTGCTCGGGGATGGGACCATATGGGATGCTAGGAATCAAACCCGAGTTGGCCTGTGCTAGCAAACAGCCTACCTGCTGTGCTATTGCTGCAGTTTCCCAGTCAATCACTCTTTTCTTTCTTTCTTTCTTTCTTTCTTTCTTTCTTTCTTTCTTTCTTTCTTTCTTTCTTTTCTTTTTGGGTCACACCTAGCAATGTACAGGGGTTACTCCTGGATTTGCACTCAGGAATTACTCCTGGCAGTGCTCAGGGGACCATATGGGATGCTGGGAATCTAACCCGGGTTGGCCGAATGCAAGGCAAATGCCCTACCTGCTGTGCTATTGCTCCAGCCCCCCAAACACAATTTAAAAAAGTAAATTCATTGAAATGAATGCTTTACTTTTTCCTTTTAAAAATTTTTTTGGGGTTATACCTGGTGGCATTCATGGTTTACTCCCAGTTCAGTACTCAGGGATAAATCCTGGCAGCACTCAGGGGACCAAATGTGGTGCCAAGATTGAATCTGTGTCAACTACATGCAAGACAAGAGCCCTGTCCATTGTACCATCTCTCCAGACCCTAAAATAGTGTTATTTAAAGAAACATAAAGAAGTGTGAAGGGAGAGAAGATAAGATCAATATGTGTTCAAGAGAGAACATGGACTTCTCTGGAGGGAAAAAGCCAATTTTTCCCCACAACTTTGCTTGTCATTCTTATGCAAGGACTATGCTAATCTTTTCTGTATCATTCCAATTTTAGTGTGTTTGTATTGCCAAAGCAAGTACCAGTATTAATTTTATTTTTTTAGGCCACATATGGCAATGTTCAAGGATTACTCCTGGTTCTGCACTCGGGAATCACTCCTGGAAGTACTCAGGGGACATGTGGCGTGCAGGAGATTGAACTCAGGTTGGCCAGCTGTATGCAAAGCAAGCACCTTACCCACTGTGTTGTTTCTCCAGGCCCCAGAAGAAAGTTTTTTAAGCGATATATGTATATGCATACATTTTACTATTTGAGGTAAATAATGCAGTCATACTTGTATTGAAATTTTATATCAAAACATTTCATTGAAGTGATATTGCTTTACAATATTACATAGTTTTCAGTTGTAGGGTTATCTTAAATTTATTTTTTTATAAAGATTCTATGGTTTACAAAGTTGTTCATCATAGAGTTTTTTTCAGGCGTACAATGTTTAAACACCAATTCCACCATCAATATCCCGCTCCCTCTATCAATGTTGCCAGGTTCCCTCCCAACCCCCAGTCTGTCCCCTTGGCACCCATATTGCAGAGTTATTTTATATTACTTGCTCTAACAAAACTTAAAGGACCAGCAAATAGAATTATTAGAAAACAAATCAATAAAGTCAGTTTGTGATGACTGATTGCTATATGATTTTTGCCTATATAAATAAAGAAATTCAAATAATTTTTAATTGTCATTTGGTGGGGGTAATACCACACTTGGTAATGCTCAGGGGTTACTCTTTTTCACTCAGAAATTACACATGGTGGTGCTCAGGGACCTATATGGGCTGCCAGGGACCGAAACCTGGTTGGCTGCATGCAAGGCAAACGCCTTCCCTGCTGTACTATCACTCCAGCCCCAAGAAATTAAAATAATTTAATACAATATAGCATATTGCCTGCTCTCACTACAGAACTAAGTTTTAAACTGGTATCGAAAAGATCTGACATTAAATTCTATTTTGGGTGACTGGAGTGATACTACAGAGGGTAGGGTGTTTGCCTTTCACACAGCTGACCAAGGTTCGATCCCTGGCACTTCATATAGTCTCCTGAACCCACCAGGGGTGACCTAAGAGCACAGAGCCAGGAGTAAGCACTGAGCAGCACCAGGTGTGGCCCAACACCCTTCCATCCCCAATTCTACTTTGTTCTTGGAACTTATTGTGGTATTATGTGTACCCTGTCACAAATAAAACTTTTTTTTTTAAAGGGCCCAGTGGGTAGGACACTTGACTTGCTTGTATATGGTTGGCCCAGGTTTGATTTCTGGCACCCCGTGTGGTCCCATAAGCCCTGCCAGGAGTGATCGATGAGTACAAGGAGAGGAGTAAGCCCTGAACATGGGATGATATCGCCCTCCTCCCTCCAAAAAGAAAACCTCTAAAAAGAATTCCTTGCTAATCTATTTTAGAGTTTTCATGAAATAGGCAATACCTACAAATGTAAAATATAGCACGTTAAGAGAATTAAGAAAACTTTAATGGAAAAAATAAGCCTATAAAAGCACAGCGTGGTTTTTTGTTGTCGTTGTTGTTGTTCTTTTGGTTTTTTGTTTTTGTTTTGCTCTTAGGGTGACACCCGGCGATGCACAGGGGTTACTCCTGGCTCTGCACTCAGGAGTTACTCCTGGCGGTGCTCGGAGGAACCATATGGAATGCTGGGAATCGAACCCGGGTCGGCCTCGTACAAGGCAAACACCCTACCCATTGTGCTATCGCTCCAGCCCCCAGTACAGAGTGTTTTATTTTAAGAAAGGTAATACTGGTTTTATAAGAGCATTATATGTTATATGTCCTCTTCGGGGCCCCTTGGAGGGGAAAGGGTTGAGTTTCCCTCCCGGACCAAGGCTCTGGCAGCTGAAGACCTGAAGAACCAGCCACCACCATGCTGAGACCACTTTCCACATGCATGAAGGTACCAGCGGAGGAACAAAGGCATGCGGGTCCCGGGGCTGATATCTCCAAGCCTGCTAGGATCGGGGCTGAGCATCCCTCACCCAGATCCTCCAAATTCCAGTAGGCAGGAGTCACACCCACCAACTGGCCCCCTGGCGCCGTGTAATCCCATCAGCGGCCAAGACCCAGAGACGATAAAACCCAGCTCCCCGAAGCGCGAAGCTGCATTTGCGCGACATCTTATCATCTCATTCCTACTTTGAACAAACTGGCAGGCTACCGAATGTAACCTGCCCACACGGCAGAGTCTGGCAAACACCCCGTGGTGTACCCAATATGCCCAATACCACTAACAATGATGGGTCTCATTCTCCTAACCCTGAAAGAGCCTTGAATATGGCACTTTTTAAAAAATCTCAGGGCTAGGACGAAGGAGATGTTACTGGGGCCTGCTCGAGGCAATCGACAAATATTATAGATACTGCTTAAGTGTCAGAATTAGTAAGTAAAAAAACTCTAGGACAATCAATGTATATGATATGTTG